TCTATTGACATCCTCAACAAATAACCTGAAGGCGGTACTCCATTCTGTTGACTGGCAGGTAGGTGCTGTGGTAATGTTTGGTTATGAATGGAAAAGGGTACTCCACTCGAACTCATGCAGCCAGATGAGAGCCTTCGGAGAGTTGTCATCTAAAGTGGTGAAAACCAGTGTCCATCAGGGATGCCCACTATCCCCATTTCTATTCAATTTCATCATAGATGTACTAATGGACTTAACCCTAAGTGACTTCAGCGACTCAGGGATTGGCTTGTTACCATCAGGGAATAATCTCGCTGACGTAGAATATGCGGATTATACAGTCCTTCTAGGTGAAGACGCTGACAAAATGCACAGTCTTCTGAACACCTTGATCTGAGCAGCAATCTGCGAATGTTTGGCATGCGATTCACTTCTTTCAAAAGTAAGATGATGCTGCCGGGCTGAATTACACCAGCTCCTACCTTAAAGATAAGTGGTGCAGCGTATTGGTCACTTCAGTTATTAGGGGAAATTGCACTAGCTCTAATAGACCTGACTGACCTCACCCTCGACGTAGACGTGATATATCTATCTATCGTTAAAACGGCGAGTGTACTGAGCAGCTGCTCGCTCTGTCCTCCCTTATGGCTATGAGAAATGGCCACCGAAGGTGAAAAAATTGAAGATGCTAGGTGTGTCTGACCACAAGTGTGTACATTCTATCTCACATATGAAGTGGTATCATTTAGTAATACTGAGCTTAAGCATTGAGTATTAGGTAAGCAGGGTAAGTCAATCAACTAGGTCTGTCTGTCTGTCTATCTGGGTTCAACATAGAACTTGGCACCGAAGTGCAGCAGTTCGAGTTGCCACGTTCCAAAGAGCATACAAAGGTAGACAAGAAAATGAGTGAATAGAATCAATAGAGTTTTGACAAGTATAAGAGTGAAACAGAATCAGTAGTGGTAGAAAGGAATATGAAAGATTACAGAGACTGAATATATCTGCGTAAGCCATTGACAACGATTTTCAGCCATGTCACCTATTGTCTCCAGCCATTGATTCTTAGAGTCCCGAGGGCGGGCCCCAACCCGGAAGTCTGCATCTCCCTACCTGACTCAGTTTAACTGTCAAGGATTTCATGGATTGATGAGGCCATGTTTTTGTTTGGCCACCACTTACTCTTTTCCAACCTGCACCTATATCAGCTAGTAATGCCCGTCCGTCGGGGGAGGCGATGGTTAGGCATGCGCAGCGCGTGACCTAGCCATCTTAATATATGCAACTTTATAGCCTCTTCGATTGGTTTTCCCTCTTTGCCCAACACTCTACGTCTAACGTCAACATTACTTACCTTATTATGCCACCTAACGTGAGAAAGAGATCGTAGACATCTATGATCAAAAACATTCAACCTTTTCATGTCTTCAACTCCTATTGGCCATGTTTCAGAGCCATAGAGAAGGATGGAGCGAACTGCTGAGCAGTACACACGTCCCTTGGTTGATAGCCGGATGTCACGCCTACGCCAGAGACGGTGTAAGTTATCGAAAGCAGCCCGAGCTTTTTGGATCCGTGCTGAGATTTCGTCACCAATCAATCCGTTGGTGCTGATCCAACTTCCAATATAGGTGAAGTGGTCAACATGTTCTATCACTTCACTCCCTATCACTAAGCTAGGAGTTGACGTAGTCCAGTCCTGTAGCAAGAATCAACTAGGTTATGAATATGAATCTATTGAGATGGTTAGTATATGCGTTTCATGTACCGAAACAGCGCCTTCCCCGACGGACAATGTTATCCCACATAGGATTAGGAATGGAGACGAGTAAGGAGCGATCAAACGAAAACCTAACATCAATCTATAAAATCTCCGAGCGTTGGTTTGAGCTAATTATATGTAGGCAGGTGTAGACTGCCTAGTTGGTGTCCTCAATAAACTAAGTACCGGTAGACTGATGCCACATTCTGTTCTGATCATCTCTAACTCTTTTCCAGCCTAAATTCAGCTACAGTCAATTCTATTATTATTAGCACCACCGGTTGTCATCACTTCAGGTAACAGCTACCCGTAAGCGGTTCGTTACACAGATGTTGTGAGCTTGGCAAGATTTCCTCGACTAATGAGATATAATTCTTCGACGTCTCTCATGGCCAAACCTTGCCATTCCACATCCAGGTTGACAGATCCAAATGCCATCCTCAGGTCAAGAACTCTAATGAGTATGATGTGTATGCCCCAGAATCTGTCGAAAGTTGAAGATCATCTTCTTCCTGGCCTAAAGCCTGTCTGATTTTCACCAATTTTTTTCTCTCAAAAACGGTTTAATCTATGCATAGTTATTGAACCTAGAACTTCAGATAGTATATAACTCAAGCTAATCCCAACCCCCTCCCCCCGATGACTATAACAAAAGAGGACTCGTCTCTCTTCTTATAAATTGGAACAATCAATGATTTACGCCGAGCTAACCGAATTATCTCTGACTACCAGACATCACTGAATACCTTAGCTAACTTCCAGACAACAGTTTGTCACTGGTATCCTTAAACGCCTCTGGAGTCACTGCATAAGATCCTGTTGCTTTGCCTCGTTTCACATTGCAATGGACTAATCTCGACACCTCTTTCAACTAGATGTTAGGTGTTGGGCAAGTTGAGATTACTCCTCAACAGAGTTCGAAACAGATGACAGGACGAGTGCTGAACCGTGTTTCAACTAAGCTATAATTACCATGATAAATTTTTATGTATACATGTTGAATTTTGTCGTAATACAATCTAGTTAATATCAAACATAGATTATTTAAGTTAATTCGATGAGGTTGCTAGGCAACCGTATTTAAGCTAACCTAATTTATAGTAAAACTTTACTCTATGTCCAATATTTCAAAAATACTTACTATAAGTGTTGATATAAAGAAATATTTATTCGCTCTCATTTCACCATTATTATTATTATTATTATTATTATTATTATTATTATTATTATTATTATTATTATTATTGTCTCTCCAATATGAGGAGTACTTTTTATGGTGTATATTAGAAACACGCCTTGAATATTTAATAATTTTGGCATACGATATAAATGAATGACTTAAAAACCAGTATGGATTTGTAAAATGCTACATTCATGATGCTGTGTACTACTTATTAATTCATACGAGTAGTCTGATACCATTATCAGTAAAATAGTAGTGTCTACTAGCTAGGCAAATCAAAGTCGTCTATATACAGAGGACGGTGGTTGCACTTACTTGTTTCGGGGCCGGGTGTCATCAGAGACGTGCCCGATGCGCTTCAGAGTTCAAATATTTTGGTGAACTGGTAATCGGCTATTAATATATGTGTAGAACTTGGGCACTGTGGTAGTAAGTAATACCATATTAGTTTGTTTATTAGGTATATCACACAGTGAAACAGTATTATTATTTACTGGATGACTAAGTTTCGTACACTCTTTATTGTTGTTCATAATCATTTCATCAGTTATAATTTAACAACTTCGAAACTTGAGTTTTATAGTTTTCTTTGTCTTTTCCTATTGGTCGTAGGGGTAGCAGAATTTTCCAGATGTCTTTGTGGACAGGTGTTGAATCATTGCTACTACATGTATTCTCCTCAGCTGATTCGATAAACAAAGCTTCTGTTATCAGTCTCTCCCTCCACCCTGTTATATTAGATTTTAAAACTGTCATCCTATCCCATCCTATTGTATAGTTGTGTGTAGTTGCATGTAGAGTAGTGCTACAGCTGAACTATTCTCTAGATTTCTTGTCTTATTCGAGTCAATCAATCTAGATTTTACTAGGATTTTATGTTCGGCTAGTCTGACTGCCACTGTTCTACTACTTTGACCTATGCATTTGACCTGTCAATCATTTCAGGGTAGTGCATAAACCAAATTGGTTTGTTTAATTGTCTCCACAGGACCATTTAACCGACGAAGCTTGTTTCTAATTGAGTTTGTGGATGGTTTGAATACCACTTTTATTATTCCTGCTTTTCTGAGTATTCTTTGTGTGGAAGTACTACTGATGATTTAAATTCCCTATTGTTGGTGTTATCAGCTACACGTTTTCGGAGATTACACTGAACACTATCCAGTCTGGTTAATGAAATGCGAACGTAGAACTGCGAAGTCGTCTATCTGTGATCACCTGTTAGAGTCAGGTCATTTAGCCCCACGTGATTCATCTTTCAAAGTTATCTACATGGCAAAATCGAATCGATCCAAAAGTTTACGTTTTCTTCACTTATGCATAGTCGAAGCTTTAGCTATACATGAACAGAAACCTAAATTATGTGTTCAAAAACGTTTTGTCAAACCCCTTTCTTTACCTTGGTCATAGTAATGTTCTTTCTAGTTTTTACTTTATTTGAATTCCTTCCACTTCACTTCACATCTTCATTCTTATCGTAATCGTACTCCTAATTATTTAAAATTTTTAGACAACACTTGACAATTTTAAAACATTTTTGATTTCAATTCACTTATAAAACAATCTTTAATAATCTTGTAATTCATCCACTTCAACTCTACCCCTTATAGCATTTTAATTATCGTTATTCTTATCACATATATATGTATATTGACTGAGCAATTATTTAGTGCCACTTAATAACCTTTTCTGTAATATAAATACGACTATACAACTTGAAAATGAAATCGTTGAAAAGAAATCTTTTCGCTGAACAAAAACCTGCGACATTTATATCTATATAGTTTAAGTTCTTTAACCCATCACTGAGTGTATGATTTCGGCTTACACTGCCAGTGAAGGAGACAGCTATTGATAAAAGTGTGCAGTAACTTATTGGAAATCCTTTTCGTGACCTCAGATCCTTAGTTCGATTCCATTTGATCCGCATTTAATCTTTTTTAGAAGTTCTATTCAATACTTTTTTTGTTAACTTCTCACATTTTGATACTGTTGATTTGCAATAAACTCACTATATTTCTTTTTCTTTTTCACAATCGCTTATATATATATATCTTTTCTGTATTACTCTCAAAGCTTCAAGAAAGCGATCCAATGATAATATTCACGAGAAAGAAGGTATCCGCATTGACAATGGATTCCAAATCCATCTGCATAGACAACCAATCACTAGTCAAGGTTTGATGGCTTGTAACGGTCCTGAATATTGTCCAATTCAATGTTGTACAAAAACAAACAGTAGTACAACTCCTGTTTATCGTGATAGTCACCGTCGTCGTCGTGGTAGTACTAATAGTAGTAGTAGTAGTAGTATCATTGTCCAGTGTAATTGTCCATGTCATCGAATTGCTGAGAATCAACCCATTGAAACGATTGTATTTATTGGTCATGCAAATGTATTTCGTTATTGGATCTGTAGACTGTTACAATTACCATCTGAAGGTTGGTTACGTTTATCGTTAGGCCATGGAAGTATTAGTAAAGTGGTCATTACAAATGATGAATGTTTCGTGGATAACAGTAATCCTGCTATTTATGCTGATCAAGGCGATGGCTTCAGTGGAGAGATGACATCAAAGTATTATGGTTGTGCTGTAACTCTGTGTAGTTTTGGTGATGTTGGACATTTACCACCCGAGTTGTTAACGTATTAAAGACTATTCAGCCGGTTTTCTCCAACCTCCTTCTCCTACCCTCCAGGCACAGTCTAGTCGCGTATATGTCAATCAGTCGTTATCAAGAGGTGATTGTATTCAGATAGAGGAATTATATAATCTATCACATACTTTTATATTGTATGTATACTGTACAGTTGATTTTGATTCTGTATGAGATTTTCAAATATATATATATTTTTATATTTATCTATTTTCAAGATAAATTTGTTACAATAAGAGGTGCGTTACACAAATATTCGCATAGTTTCTGCTAGGGATGGATTATTGCCTGGTCGTCTAGACTTGAAGCAAGTGGTTGTCTTAATGGACCACTCCTTACCGCCCAATATTTGTTTGATCTGATGTCTAATCAATGGGGCAGTTAAGCAGCGTCAACAGCTATTCTCCTATAGTTGTCGATGCGTTCGAATTTCGGTGAGTATGCAAACCATAGGTGTAAGCGCAATATCGCTTGAAATTAAGTCACGCGTAGGTAGAGGCTATCCCGGTCCAGAACAAACAAGAAGCCGGTCACTGTTTCTACGGTACTATTAATAAACAAATCAATTAATATATATACAACAAACCTTAACGGTTTCAAGAGTACAAAGCACAACGCTTAACAGAAGGCAAGGTACCGCTATCAGATCGGAATAACGTTAAAGCCGAAATTGCGAACTAGCCGGAATCAGACACGACTGTTCAGGTAAGCAGTCAGTAGAAGAATGAACCCAAGTAAGGCAGGGCATAGAACAGAGAGCGGTTAAGAGATAGACAGAGCATAAGCACAAAGATAGAATTTAATTGGCTACTTAACCAATCAATAAATAAGATAAACTCGACAGAATATTACAAAGTAAGACATGGGTCAGCAAAATAACAGTTCACAAAAATACTCTGATTGGGTCATGATTTCAACTGTCTGACTAAACGGATCGAAGTAAAAACACACACACAGCTCATTAAACAAGGTGAGATAAACACGTTAGGCATGGATAATTGGGTTGCAACAACGCTAGGCTGATCCGGGACAGGTTGACTTGATTCAAGGATGGGAATTGAATTGGTCTTACAATAGGTTTCGAATCAGGGTTTCCTGGAACCCCTTGCCAGGTAAACTTGTGTATGTTCATCAGTTCAGTTGTAAGCATCACATGTTCACCTCGACCCTTTCATCAGTTTTGTGATGAACACCCTGAACTCACAGAAACGTGACGGTGTTAAATAGGACTTAGTTGGTCAGGACTAAGAAGGCATGACTACATGAGAACATTCCGAGACGAAGACTGATGCCTACCTACCCTCTACCATACCAGCTTGGTCATTTGAGCTGACTGTACTCTGCCAATCAGGATTTGGTATACCGTCACCAACAAGGCAGCTGACTCGCCTTCATGAGGCTCTTTGAATTGATGTTTGGCGGTTGGAGGTGAACGACAGAAGACTCCACACTTAACTCTTATGCTTCTTGGCACTCGTCAGCCGTGGATATACCTGCTACCTCAAAGGAAAGCTGTATTAATAAGTTATGCAATGAGTCGTGTTTTGTCCAGCTAAGGTATACTCAGGTTTTAATGAAAAGGTTTAACTGATAACCGCATATGAACAATTTATTTTATTATTCACCAATTAGACATCTCGAGACATAAATTCACCAGTAGTGGTACACCGCTGATAAACCCGATCCCAAACGAATGAGTTTGCTTATTAAGCACCAATATTTAACTCGATTAGTTTTCAACTACTCATTTTAATAAATTAGTAGTATATGTATTATCACATAATTTCGTATGTGAAGTTTTTTACAGCTAAGCGTGAGTGCTCTAATCATACCAACCTTCAACAGTATGCATTGCTAAGTACATTAGATATTGTCTCTTTATTTCATTCTTGTACATATGAATTTCTCTAAACCAGTCTAGAGAAATGAACAGTTGTTTTTGGTCCCAGTTAGGAGACTCTTCAGCAACACTCACTTATAACTCCAGCAGAGATTGAAGTGAGATACTAAATTAACCTCTGAGTTGAAAGCCAACAACTCTTGGTATTCTCAGTTTATCATCCATGCAAGTACTAACCGGGCACAGAGTTGTTTAACTTCGGTGGGTGAACTAGAACTGAGCTTTTCAATATAGTGTGTTCTCTGACAACGCCTGGTTATCCCAGCCGGTTAGTAAGGTGGATGAATACTGATAAGTACCACCATAAGCGAGCAAAACAGCTATATGATATATGTATATATATCACTTCGATTATTTAAGTCCTAGTGGCTGAATGATCAATAAAGTCGAGTAAAAAATTGTACTGGAAACGTCACCAGTAAATATTACTGTATAACACTGTGACACTTTATTAAAATAAATTTTACCCACAGAAGTTTTTCAGTGCTGTATAAACTAGGAAGAAACAACTGCCCGTCTTTCATCTGTGCGTCGTTGATTTTAAGATGGAATTCTTCCCAGCTATACGGGAGATCCAGGTTCAATTCTCCGCTGATGCACGCTTAAATATCGCCTTGACGTTGGCAGTAAGCGCAGGAAATAGGGGTGTTTGGGTGTGGCGTTATCCATTACAACACCATTTAAAACAACACCCTCGCTACCAAAATCTCTAAGCTTAAAGTCCGATGTTCTACTGCGAATGCAGCAAAATAAATTTCATCGTCCATCTTGCGACAAGAATCTACCATGTATGCAGTGAAGGTATACATTGTTTAAGGAATTGGAATCCTTCAGAAACACTTTAATCTAACCTCTTTCATCCATTTCCGTGTTAAAATGAGAAAGATCAACACTCTGCAAAACTTAGATGTCCCTATGAAATAACTGACTGTGGGTTTGAAATGCAAGGAAGATCTATAGTTGGTAGAAATTTTTTGGATGTTGACTGTCGAAAGCGTTTCGAAGAAGAACGTTATTTGTTGCGTCTCTAGGCTTCACCTTCTCCACACAACATACCCTTTATCAGCAAAACGTCAAAGACAAGATCCAACTTTTGGTAACCTTAATATTCATTCACTAATTCTCTTTACTCTTTTGAAGCCAAATTCTTAGGTTATATTAGCAACACATTTTCTGGACGGCGAAGCGTCCCAGTGGTGTGAACGCTCCAATGACCTTGAACGCATACTAGTCGTTGGCTAACGACGTCTGTCATTATCATAGCGGAAATATCAGCGCTATTCACCAGCTTAGGAGCAAATTTCACCCAGATCACGTTTTTATGTACTGTTTGGACAACGTGTTAATAGCTCGTTAGGGTTAGGATCAGGGTTATAATTAGCATTAGAGTTAGAATTACGGTTTGAATAAGGGTTAGGATTAAGGTTAGGTTTAGTGTTTGGGTCAGGATTAAGCATATGCTTACGATTAGGTATAGATTTATAGTTGATGTCATTTATTTTAATTTTTTGTTATCCGCGTTTTCTTGGTAAGTAGTCGTCTATCCTCTTGCTGGAAGCCATAATAATTCAACCGAGGGCTTTTTTGGCGCTAAGTATCTTGGATTAATTCTTTCCTGTGACCTATTCTGGTCTTCCCATGTCTTAGCGATTTCTAAAAGAATATTTCTGAACATATTCCAAGAAACCTATGCCTGAAAGGAAGCAAATATTCTCAGAGTTCAATTACCAGACATATTGTTGATACCGGACATCTCGTAGAGATTTCTAAGTCCTTCAAAATATTAAATAGACAAAGGACAGCAAATTTACTACGATTTGCCGAAGCGATCGCAATCAAACGATTTAAACCAGACTTATGCATACAGAAAGAGAGTGTGATTAACCTCTCACTCCCTTGGGAACTGAATTTTGATTTTGATTGCATCAATTAGTCATCTAATTCAGTGATCTCAACTCACTGAGCAAATCTCAATCTTATAAACTGTAAATGCTTTTGTTTTTTGGAGTTGCCATGTGAACCTACAAGCTAACACTGTTTCTGTTAATCAATTTTTCTGTCTTACCCCTCCCCCCTCTTTTCAACTCTGAAAGTGTATAAATTGATGATGATAACTTAAACTAAAAATTGTAATGCTTTCATTCTTTTTTGGATGCGTCAATTTTATCTCTTCTCTACTACTAATCAAACATGAAAGTATGTTATTATCATTTATATAACCATTGTAATTTCAGGTAGTCTGCAGCTGATGAGAACCTGTGAAATAGAATGATATCATTTTATACTGCAAATTTCGTCTTCCTTTCTTTATCGAAAGAATATTTCGTCTGACTTTTTATATAATAAGAAGTTAAGGCATTCATGAATAACTCAACCCCTCCTCTTACAGTTTGTCAACTCGTGCATTTTACCTATTCTTCTTTATTGTTCACGTTTATTTTTTCCTGGAATGCTGAAAAAAGACTATGTCATACTTTGTAGAACTCTGAAGACTATCAGTAGGGCCATATCACTGACGTCGTCATTCATAGGCACTTGATTTCATGCAACAAATTTGCTACAGGAATTTCGTCAGACTGTGAGCATCCACTCTACCCGCAGCTTTCACCTTATGTGTACGCAGGTAAAGGCAGCAGTCATTTCAAAAGACTTTATGCACGTACGTTTAAGTATAAAAATTCCACTATACCATATTTGACACGTACTTTATGTGATGAAAATAGTTTTAGGCATGAACTAACTAACTAACCTTCTTTGCACTAGTAAACAAACCATTTTCTCCACTCTTATAACACCAAGCTTTATTGTTATTGTATTTCTTTTATTTATAATCCTCGCAAATTTTGTTTTCATTTGTTTATTCTTTCATAAGTGCGAACATCATTTAAGCTGTATTATAATTGTTAATTTTTGTCTTTCCCCTCGCTATACCATATCAGCAGAACATTAGACCCAATAATCTATAACATGCTAAAGTTTCCAAACTGAATCGACAATACCGTTTGAAACAAACTGACTGTTATTATTATTATTATTATATTTAATAATCTCAATTCTTGCTTCGAATATTTTTGACTTTATGTCGTAAATGTGGACAAATTCCCCCGGTTAATTTTGTTTTAATTTTATTTATATTTTGAGTAAATCAGATGCAATATTGTGACAAATGTTGAGAATTCCATTCTGTATTATAAGTACTATTTTGAGAATAAATTTTTTAGAGGCTTGAAGTTTCGATAGCAGTGGTATCTATTTTTACGGGGATGGGGTTGCTAGC